GGGGGGCAGTTAGGAAGGCCAACCGCACCTTGTCGTGCATCCACAGATGCATCTCGAGCAGGTCCAGGGAGGTGATCCTCCCCCTCTATGCGGCACTGGTCAGGCCGCAGCTGGAGTACTGCGTCCAGTTCTGGGCGCCGCACTTCAAGAGGGATGTGAACAGCATAGAGAGGGTCCAGAGGAGGCCACTCGCATGATGGGGGACAGCAGGGCAGGCCCTATGAGGAGAGACTATGGGACCTGAACCTGTTCAGCCTCCACAAGAGAAGGCTGAGGGGGGATCTTGTGGCCTGTTACAAACTGGTCAGGGGGGAATCAGAAGGCACTGGGGGAGTCGCTGTTCCCCCGAGCACAGCCAGGAGTGACCAGGAACAACGGTCACAAGCTGGCAGAGGGTAGATTTAGGTTAGACATCAGAAGGCGCTATTTCACGGTCAGGGCGGCTAGGGTCCGGAACCAACTTCCAAGGGAGGTGGTGCAGGCTCCTACCCTGGGAGTTTTTAAGAAGAGGTTAGATGTACACCTTGCTGGGGTTGTCTGACCCCAGTACTCTTTCCTGCCATGGCAGGGGGTCGGACTAGATGATCTTCTCAGGTCCCTTCTGACCCTAGAAACCATGAAACTATGAGCCAAGACCAGATAAAAAGGCACGGGCGTGCTGGCGTTGAGCTCGGGCTGACTGCAGCCCATAGGCACCATGAATAGCCAACGTGGAGGCCCCATTCAGTCCCACGCAGAGGAACCGAGTCAGTTAAACCAGTGCAAAGTCCCCGTCCGGTTGCAGCTATTCTGATGTCATGGTGGCTTTGCTGCACTCGGTAGAAACCAGCTTCTGATTAAAACCAAAACACAGCTGGTTTCAGCCCAAAGCAGCCCGTCTGCGCAATGGGCCGCCGGTTTAAACGAGCAGGTTAAAAACCCAACCACCCCTAAAGCAGTCCGGCTGCGAGCAGTGCGATGGCAGGCAGGCTGAGAGCACGGGACGGTTTTAACCGAATAGGGAAGGGGAGAGAAAAAGGGAATGGGGGGGGGGGGGG